CCTACTTACTCTTTACAAATATTGTTTTGTACGGCCCAATATTTGCTTATAAAACTTTATATTAAAATCCCCTTTTTGGTTGTTTCCTTCCATTTTCCACAATATAATCAACATTCTTTTTTTAATATATAGTCTCCAATCCATTAACTTTATATTTATAACATATAATTTCAATTATTCTACCGTCCCCAATCCATCCCCTTTCGAGTACAGCGTCTTCGTTGACACTCATTTCTTCCTCCAATTGATGTGGGACCTCCTAATCCACCTCTTTAAGGCCTAGCGTCTTTACTCGCATATCGTCTAGTGTCTGGCTCTGGTACCATTTGTAATAGTAGCCCAAACCTACCGCTATCCGATATTTTCCTCTGTGGGCTTTCCTTTCTGAGTTCCCCTCAAGGTTTTTAAAACGTGTCTATTAGGGAGAGGTTTTCACACTCTCATAAAAAAAAAATATTTCGTTCTCCTCTCCAACCGATGTGAAATCTTACATTTGAATCGTTAATTTTTTTAAAACAACAGTTATAGTTTTACAAAATCGAACTATGAGAACCGGGATTAGATAAGAAATCTTGGTCATATTTTCTGGAGAATTAAAATTTTTTCTTGTGGCCAAAATTGAGAAAAGAGAACCAATATAAAGAGGTGTGGCCCCACGCACGTGAAAGGTTTCAACAAGTAAATTAGATGACGAACTTGCTATGAATATCACAATGAACAAAAAAAAATTAATTGAAAAAAAAATAAACCTTGTACCTTTTAAAATAATTATTGACCACTAGGTTTAAAAAATATTAAATTTATAAGAGTACAGCTAAATTTTTCATACGTTACGATGGAGGAGAATGATCATTATATTTATTATAATGCTACAACGATCGCTATTCCTAACGGGTGTCCGACATCAACAACTTTAGAAAATGCTCTCCAACAAAGAAAGGGGCCCAAGAGGCGTACAAACCGACTGGTGAATCCCTACTCACATGTGTGGGTCATGTGTATAATAGTAAATACACATCTAATTACCGGTTTAGGATAGCCACCTAAGGAAATAGACTTAAAGAATAGGTCTCATTCATGATTGATGTGTTTGCATCTAACCTCAATAGTTGGGTCACTTGAATGAGTATTTCTTAAAACACTCAAGACTCGTGCTACTTCTATTTAAGGTAAAAGCAAAACACTCATGTACGGCTGACGACGACATCGTAAGTCAAGACCATGACATTGTAAGTCTATGACGGTGTTTTATCTTGAAGGTTCAAATTATTATTTCTCTCTAAACTCAGCACAAACATGTTGTATAATACATCTTTACCTCTCTGAGACAAAAGCCTGTTGTAACTCACAGTAGGTCATGATCGTGTACCTAACTCGATCGTTAAAGTGACTTTAAATCACTTTAAACAAACATCACACATTGAGGATCAAATTTTTTGACGTTAGGGAAAGGAAACAAAAGGAGGCGATTAGGGGCCAGTAGTGTCTAGGAGTGGGCAGGCAAGTGAACCCAAATCCAATCTTAAAAATGCCCCCATGAGCTCTAAATCTCCAACGCTCTATTCCCATAGCATTGGCCATTGGGGAGGCCCAACCTATGGTGTGGTGAGCGTGTGGGGTGGTGGGGATAGGGGTGACCTTCTCTTATCATTCCACTCTCATTTCATGTGCTCTTGTTCTTTGCCTCTTTCCACCTTTTTCTCTCTCTCTCTTTCTTGCTACCGCTACCGACGATCTTTGTCGTTTTCTCCGTTTGAATTTAGATCGAGATACAAATTTAGTTTATAAATTTTGACAAATGGGTTACGTAACAGGTGTATTTGAACCGCTCTTTGCTTGTAAGCATGTTTGTGAGTCGGGCTGGGTTGAGTTAGTATATTTTTTAGACCCAATTCAAATTTTTCGCTATATAGACGAAGAGTTCATTCCTTCCAATTGATACTAGAGCTAGAAACATGGTGTGCCAACGAAAACGTTCACTCCTAAAGGGTGGATTGTGGGATCACAATGGGTCAGAGAGGGAAACAAAACATTTTTTATAAGTTAAAACCTTTCAATGGGTCACAATGGGTTGGTTTGTGTTTGTTTCAGATCATTTATTCAATGTTTAGGTTAATCATGATTTTATTCGGTTGTTCGCACCATTTGGGTGATCGTTGGTTGTCGTAATATGTGACATCTAATTTATTATTTTGAATTCTATTTTAAAAATATATATACTAATTTTGTTTTTTGTTTTTTTTTTTAATTTTCATTATGTATACGTCATATAATTGGGAGATTCTGTACAGATTAATAAACCAAGAAAAACAGTTTGATGTGTTGGAATTTGTAATTATGAGTTGGTTGATTGCTTCCCAATCCTTTCCATTATATTCTTCACCTTTTGAAATGACCAGCGAATGAGCAAATACACCGTCTTCAATAAAGTAAAGCATCATCATTCATTCTTTGAAGACTTCGATTTTTTCTTTCTCGACTCCTAAATTCTTTTCCTTCTCGTTTGGAATATTTTTTAGATGCTTGAAAAAAAGTTTAGTTCGGGTGGAGAAAGTTGAAAATATCTGCTTTATTAGAAAATGCTTCTATCGTCTGTCTGATTTTCCTACTCGAAATTTTTGGTTAGTTGAGTTGGTGACCCGTGCAATCCAATTCAACTCTCTATTTTCAGACTGGATTAGGTTAGGTTAGGTTTTTAAGCGGGTCTGGTTACTGTTACATTTATAACTAAAATCTCGTAAAATTCAAATATCAAATATTCTTAGGTCAGAATCCATCACTAAGGGGCATAAACATCAAATATTTATAATTTTTAGTAATAATATGATTAATCTTTATATACTGTAGTAAAGGAATAAGAATAAGACAAAGTATAGGTTAGACAGAATTTAGTAACTAATTAAGCAATAAGTAGAGGAGCGAAGACACTTGTTCGAGAGGAGGTTCTGTACAGGGCCTGGTAAAGAAGTTGTTAAGAGAAGAAATAGGAATAGAGTCGGAGACTTGTGAAAGGATAGCAGAATCAGCTTACCTTGACTATGAACAAACTCTATATTTAGATTGGTCGAGTTTCATTCAATAATATCAACTATGAACAAACTCGAAAGTTTGAGTTTTTCAAAAATCTAACTCAAGCTAACTTTTGTAAGTTAGTCATATTTGTCGGATCCCCATAAACTCCTAATCCAAAGAAAATAAAAAAAATATGATGTGTGAGGTTTTTTCTTTATTATTTTGTTCTCTATCTTAATTTAATATCAACCAACATTACCATTTCCTTTTATTTCGAATATTTTTGTCAAATCTTTATGATAAAAGTTATCTGAAACTTCAAATTCAAAGAAAATGTTCTCTCGAATTTTTTTTTTCGAATTTAAATGGTGAGTATGAGAAAATTTAACGTCAATCATATTCGATATTACATCAAAGAATAACCATTAGTGATAGAACTACAAATTGTTTAGAAGAAAACGACAAAAAAATAAAAAAATAATTCTAATTTTTTTGTATTAAAAAAAAAGTAAAGAAAAAAAAATTGGTTATCCCGTTCCAAATATGTAAATACTTTTACCTCCTCTAAAATTAAACAAAAAAAAAATGTACATTTCATTTCTTATTACTTTAATCCGAATGAAATCTAAAATATATGGTAAACTCCGAGAATATTTTTATTTATTTTTAGATATAATTAATTAATGGTAAAAATAATAATGAAATGATAAAGATAGAAATGAGAAGATTGAGTCATAAAATGTCAAACCATGATGATGAATTAAGAAATGGTGGGCATTTCTAAATTTTAAAATAAGAAGCAACTTTTATCATGTATTAACATTATTTGGTATGTCGCCTAATTCAAATATCACACTCAAATAATTGAAATTTCAACCTAAGATGCAAATTTTTCTTTCACTTTATGCTTTGTAATCATTGATACAATGCCTTTTTCTTCCCAAACATACTCGAACCTATTTTATATTTGGTAACGTTACCATTTTAATCTATGTTTTCTCTGCCCTTACGTTACATTGTCGTTTTTGTATTTTAGTTCAATCTCTCCAAACTCATCTTGAATGGAGTACAAAACTACTGTTCGTAAAGAGAGTGGGAAGAGATTTCTCTCCGTTAGCTAAATTGGATCAGAGATGAGGGTTATATTCTCAATCCCTGCACCACTCCGTCTCACTATATATATTATGGGAGAAAATTATTTTTCAATAACCAAAATGAATTAACTATGAATTACCACGGGTTCGATTTTATCAAAGAACCTCGTGTGCATTATCGACACGAGATTGATAGATATAGACCAAGGCACTTCTTATTTCACACGTGTCAACACATCAATGATCTTTTTATTTTCTTTTCCTTAGGTTAATAAATAAATAAATAAATAATAAATCACAAAATAAATAATAATAATAGTAATTAATTAATGAAGAAAAAAAAAGGTTTTTTCGGCAAAGGCAAACGCGGTGTTATGTCCGGATTCGAAACGTGAAATGACCATTTTATCCCCCACGTGTTCCCTCACCTACTGCCCTCTCCTCTCCCTTGAGTCCATGACAGTCATTTTCAACGCAAGTCCTTCTCCGGACCCACACATTAAAAAAATAAAAAAATAAAAAAATATATTTAAAAAAAAACACCTCTAATTTTTATTTAAATAAAATTTAATTAACCTAAAAAAATTAGTAACATTTTTTAGATCTTCTACTCTATATACATGTGGCTAATACCCTAAAAAAGAAAATTAATTTTTTATAAACAATTTTTTATGATTAAAATTTTCAATAAATATTTGACTTATTCGATATTTTTTTCAAAATTCCAAACAGAAATTATAATTTAAGAAGAAAAAGAAAAAAAAAAGAAAGAAAGAAAACGACCCACTGAAATCCCACTCCATTGGTCATTTCCATCACCCTCACCGCACGACATGTGAGGCTATCACCGCCCACCTCTCCGTCTTCCCTATATCTTAAATCAAATTCTCATTTCTGCAAAGCCAAGAAGCAAAAAAAAAAAAAAAAAAACCCCTTCTGCAAAACCAACGGAAACCGTCCATTTTCCGACCCGACCCGACCCGATGGGCTTTCCGGTGGGTTGCACGGAGGTTTTCTTCCCCACAATATTCCTCCATTTACTCTCTCTCCTGGACTTACTAAAACGCCTAATTCTGTACCTGTTCCGCCTCCTCGGCCTCCCGGAATTTCTCTACTCCGACGCCGCCATCTCGCGGGAGGGTGGGATTCCGTTGAACCCGCCAGCCTCCGCCGTGGTCCTGCGCGAATTCCTCCCCGTAGTGAAATTCTCGGATGTCCCCCAGGCGGCGGAGGCGGCGGCAGAGAGCTGCGCCGTATGCCTGTACGAATTCGAGGGAGCAGAGGAGATCCGGTGGCTGACGAACTGCAAGCACATATTCCATAGAGGGTGTGTGGACCGTTGGATGGATCATGATCAGAAGACATGTCCGCTTTGTAGAACGCCGTTCGTGCCTGATGGGATGATGGATGAGTTCAATCAACGGCTCTGGGCCGCCTCTGGAATTGCTGAGTTTGATTCTGAGTTCAACTCGGTTTTAGGTTAGTGCACCAAAAAAGAAAAAAAAAAAAAAAAAAAAAA